CATACTTTCAAATGACACCCTTTCTTTTATTTTCAGAAGCTTTTGCAACCCTGCAGCTAAATCAAACTGAATGTCTTTATTTCTCACATTTGGCTGCTAGCAATTAAATGCCAACTACAAATCCAAAGCTAGATTTTAACATGCTTGCACCAGACTGTACGTATCGGTTCACCGTGTGTGCCCCGCCTTGTGTCTCTGCAGTACATCTCTGCTGCAGCGGCTGCTCCTATGCAAGGAACCTACATTCCCCAGTACACTGCAGTGCCTGCCTCTGCTATTACAGTGGATGTAAGATGTTTGTTAACCATACTGTGCAGAAAGATTTAGATGGTCTTATGATTGATTGTACTATTGCGAAGTCACAGATGATAATTTTAAACAGTATTATTTACAATTTCAGATGTGTGGAATTTTGAATTCATTTAGATTTGTTAATTTTAATAGGGGGAAAAAGTTCACTTTGTCACAAATTACTTGTTAAAGTTAGAATCAACCTTTACTTTTCATGAAGTAAGCAAGTTGTAAGTAGAATATGTGCTTAGCTTGTTTATCCAAAGCTGAAAAATTGGGGAGGGGGAAAATGCTTATATCACTCTCACTGCAGCAATTTACTTTGACCTCCTTTCTTCCACTCTGTGTCCAATCAGGGTGTGGTGACAGACCCATCTCCACAGACAACTGCCCCCTCCTCACAGGATGCCAGCGGGCAGCAGCCTTTATCAGTGGAGAATTCAGCAGACCATGCCACAGCCTACTCCTACCAGCAGACAAAGTGAGTTTACAAGAAACATATATATATATATATATATATATATATATATATATATATATATATATATATATATATATATATATATATATATATATATATATATATATATATATATATATATATATATGAAAACCAACTCTGCAGATCCTTTTTATGCGACAGAAGTGTAGTAGTACGCTTTAGCCCCTTGATAACGCCATGAGTCTTTCTTCTGACCATCAGGTCAACTGTAGCTTTCACTAATTGTTAGCAATTTTAATAGTTATTAGCTGTCTAATGTCTAATTTCTGTGTTGACTTACTTTGGCATAAAAAATATTTTTTTAGACAGGTGATATAATCTCGCACCAGGTCCACACTCCATTTTCTTCAGAGTTTCTGGAGACAGGGGAAAGAAAGTGAACTCTGGAAAAAATTAATATTTACCAACTACATGCAAATGCTCTAAGATACCTATGAAGACAATCGGTGTGGAAACAGATTGTTTCGTGAGCATAATTACAAAGCTAAACTGGGGATTTTTTTTAATTATTATTTTGCTCATAACTCTGTCATTATTTCTATCACTCCTCTTTATGATGACTACGTCGTTTTCGCCACCCCGATAACTTGACTTTATTGCGTTCCTGCAAAAAAAAGTCTTGGTCATCAAATTTTTTCTGACTTCTCTGTCTCCTTCAGGTAACTGGCGGGAGTCATTGTTGCATTGCCTTTAGAAGGACTGCGAAGGAGCCGGAGACAGACAGAGAATAAAAACAAGTCAGAGGACAAAAACACAGCAGTGAGATGGACATGGCAGACAGGAAAATGCTTCCACTGTGCACAGGAACCAAATAAATGAGGAAAAAAATATGCTATATTTTATAGCTGTTTGAACCAAGACAACGACAGCTATAAAAAAAAAAATAACAAAGAATGTTTGTTGAACTACAAGACAATGGTATCAATCACAGTCTAAGACTGATTTGATCATTTTTCACCTTGAGACTGGACTTTCCCCTGTGGAGGGGTAAAAAATGAAAAAAACAAAACAACAACAACAACAAAAAAACTATATCAAAGACTGAAATCAAAACTCAAACTGTAAAGAAAAAAAAGAAAACATTTGAATGTGCAGGTAGAAATTTTGACTTTTTTATCAAAAATTTGAGGAAGCAATGTCTAGCAGAAAACAGACTGTCTTCCTCTGATATGAAGATCTGTTTTTCTTTTTCTTTTATTTGAGTAATTTTTTAGAAAATCAATGTTTTCTTAAATTCTCATTGCCTTAATTTTCTCAGACTTTTTGGGGAAAAAAAAGACTCCATAGTGTTAAATTCTTCTTAAAAATGATTGAAAGTGTGTTGTGGGGATCTCAGAGAGGAAATCGACAAAGCTATCTGTACAGGTTCTAAAAAAAAAAAAAAAAAGATATTACAATAGTTTGAAGATGACAAGCAGTGAAGTGCAAAAGCAGTTGATGGATTAGATGGACAAAAAAAATTGCGTGGCTTGTTAAAAGAGTTGATCCGCGGCTTCCTGGGCAATGTGGTTTGATGTAACGGTGGGATCCAATCTCAGTTTCTCTGACACATTGTCTCATTTTCAGGTTTTGTTGTTCTTGTCATTGCAGTCCAAATGTTCTTGTTTGTGTGCTTTGGTTGTCTCACAACATAAAGAAAGGAAAATCTTCATCAACAACCAAATTGAAGAAAAACAAACAAACAAAAAAAGATTTATAAATATGTGATAAGCAATAGTTTGAGTAAAGCTGTCGACAGTTTCTTGAGTCTTTCTTAACGGTTGAACAAATGCTGCCGATGGCATATTTTATACCAAAGACGAAGAAATTATGTAGAGAAGAGATCTTCCTTGTTGTTTGTTCAACTCTTTCACCTTTTAAAAGTGAAACACATTCTTGCTTATCATGGTTTTAGTGGATGAGAGTCCCCAACGCAGCTTGTGAGATTAAAATAAAATATGCAGTAGGTCTTTAACTCGATTGCCTCAACGAGAAGAGCAGCTTAGTTTGTCGTGACGTTGAGTTCAGCGTTGACTGAAGAGACGCATCCTTCTTGACAGAGCGGTGGCTTATAATAAGATGGCTGGGATGCTGAAATTAAATCCTTGTTTGCTAAAATACTAGAGATCTCATCAACACAATTTGGAATGCAAACTCTAATTTGCACAGATTACTTTGTTTGCTTAAAATGTGGCACTGTGGAGCAGTTATAGGCCGCCAGTAGCTTACCTCCAGAAGACAGCGACCAAAAGTAAAACTGAATGTTTCGATGCTATCTGCTTCGTCTACAGATCAGAAAACAAACATTTCTTATCATTTCACTGAATGAAAAGTCATACATTTTTATTAATTACCTTCTGTTTTTTTTTTTTTATCTGGTTTTTGATATCAAATGATGATTGAAAGATTTATCCAAAGGAATATGTTGTAGTCATATGTACATGTGGGAATAAGATTTTAATATATTGATAAAATATGTTATACATATAAATGTATGTTAGCAACTGAAGTCATGTGATGCATTTTCAGACTTTTTAAGAAGAAAAAAGTTTTACTTTTAGGAATATTACAATAAAATGAAATTTTATGGGAGATTATACATTTTAAAACATTCTTTAAGAAGGGCACTAACTTGGATTAGTTTTATGATGCAAAACATTTGAGTACATGCAAAATAATTTATTTGAACTCTCAAAAGAGAGGAATTATTTTAGCGCTAATCTTTATTTCTTAATTCTAATTCATCTGCAAACTGAGATTACTCTCGTCACTGTCTTCTGCAGTTGAGATACTGACTACACATACGTGTCATTCACAACCCACTTTTAACAAACAGAACTTGTTCTGGAAAACACTCTGTTTTGTCTGTCTTGCCAAACACATGTAATTTGTAAACACCAATGACCTCCGTCAGACAAAAGGGCACTTCTGCAGAACAAAACTATTTCAGCTTATGAACACTCTTCTACAAGGGCAATATTTTGTGTGCAACTTTTTTTTTTTTTAACTGTCTTTAGACAATTACTTATATTTGAGCTGCTAAACACTTTTCAGTATTGGGGAAAGAGGGTGTCCTGTGTTGTGTATGTGTGTGTGTGTGGGGGGGAAATGCACCATTGAAATACAGCAACTGATTATTTTAAGGCAGATTGAAGACTGAAGAAGAGAAAATGAACAAGACATTGTTCTGAGTATGAGTGCATCAGATGCGTGGACAGAAACCAGGAATAGAAGTGTACATGTTATGGTTCGCACTGTTTCTGAGTCCACATCCATGTAGACCAACTTCACTCTGGATGGAGGTTAAAAGACAAAATGGATGGAGAAATGGTGATTATTATTATTATTATTTTTTTTTTTTTTACCAAAACAAGGCAGATACAAACTTCTCATGGAAAATAAACTATCAGAAGCAAAAGAGGAGGCTGAGGAAACAAAGGTAATATTTATGAGGTGTTTCTTTTTTGTACAGGCGTGTAGAAGATGCAAGACTTTGAGGATGCTATTTTTTTATTTGCTTGGTCACATGCCTCCAATGTCTTTCAAAGTTGTGATTTTGAGTGTCTGTAGAACCAGTGGGTGTTGCTGTAGTTTCACACGTGTGTTTTTTTGTTTGTTTTTGTTTTCTTTTTTGACAAAACTTTCAATAAATTTTTTTTTTATAAAAACAGCCAGTGCCCACATTTCTCAATGGCTTATGCCGCATATTACCGCTAGGGTGCAGCATTGTTTTACTGCATGTGGCTAAAAAGCAGGTTTATAGCATGTGCATGCATATTGCTTCAAGCAGTCCATAAGTTACAACAAGAGACTGAGCAGCTTTAACACTTAGAAGAGTTAAAGATGAGCAATCGCTTGCTGAATAACTTATTATGCTTCAACTCCGACCAATTTGTTGTGTGCTCAAATTAAAACCATGCAGCTGTTTATTATGTCCTGTTTTGGTTGGAATCATCATATTTTCAATGTTTTCAAGATACAGTAAGCATAGCAAAATATTTTGTGTACTGGTGGGCTGCCTCTGCTTTTTTCATTAGTTTTTTACAATTTACAATAAACCGAGAGGTTTGTTGTAAGGTTGCATAGATAGGTTGGCAGTGCTATTTTCTGTGAAGTGATTAAAAGTGAACAGAGTGCACATCTTTGACTGCAGGTAATGTGAACAATTTATGCATAATCTAATGTTATGGGTGAATAATTTCGAAGGTTATGAAATAACTAGAAAAAATGCGGTCAAAGAACATGTTTATTATACAGTTAGTTATCAAAGCATTGAAATAGTGGGGAAAGTACAATAAAATTAAAAACATGCATCAGGTTTTCAAGTACAGTCAAAATTGTGCTAAAATATCATCCAGTAGAGTGTGCTATATTCAACCAAACTTCACTGTAACTGCAACTGGATTCACAAGAAAACCTCATGATTTACGGTTTCCACTGCGTGTTCAGAAATGTATTTCTCATTTAGTAAAACATATGCATACAACTGAAAACATTGACAGTTGAACACATGTAACTGAAAATTAACACTTTCTATGTTCCCTTACAGTGAGATAAAGTCATTGGAAAAACAGTACAAAATTGGAATAAATTGATTAGTTTCCTGAAATTTTACTCTCATATGTAAAAAAAAAAAGAAAAAAAAAATAAACAGCACATTTTACATGAATTTAACACAGTGATAGTTGCAAAAAACATTGTTACGAAATAAAAGTTACCTACTGCAGCTTTAACAAAAATGCGACCAAAGCCTAAAGAGTGTAAATGAGTCATTTCATGTTTTATCTCAGTACTAGGCACCTCCTATACTGTTTGATATTTTTCTGAATACAATTATAACACTAATAAAAGAGTTAATGCTCTTGTTTAAAAAAAATAAAAAATACTCACAATTTATTTACTATAATAAGCATTAAAGATGTGTCCTTATCAAGCCAGGTAGGAGCTCTGCTATTCACTCTTTTATCCATTTCTTCTTCATTTTCATCCAAATAAAAAAGGATGGACTGTTTATATCTGCTTACATAGATGTGTGATGAATCTGATCGACAACAACAAAAAAATGTAAGAGATTCTGTGGATGCTTGACAAAAAAAATCAACCTGTGCAAGCAAAACATGTGTTGTCCTCCTGCAATGTCCTTTTCCATATGAATGTGTGGAAAAGGACATTTTGACATGTTCATTTAATTCTTGTACATTTGTACTTGTTTTGTTAAAAAATACTGCTGGGAAAAGATTTTTAAATCTCTGCGCTTCTGCGACGTAAAATAACCATAGATGCACATTCTGATATTCATCAGAGAAATAAAATTGGTCCAGTGAGATTCACTATCTTGCTCATTTCCATTGGGGGTGATTTATCTTTTGCAAGCACAAGTTGTATTGGGAAAAAAAAGTTTAACCATGAACTTAAGTGCAAAGACATTTTCTATGTAAATCTTGCCTCAGAGGTATGAGATGAAAAACCACATCATTTTGTTTGGTAACATTCAACAAACATGCCTGATCACATGCTAGGGCAGCACATTCCCACAAAGAACAAAAATAATTCCCTATGCTCTCCTTAATTTCCTTTTATCACCTATCAATAGCAAGTACGAATGAGGATGATAAATCCTAAGATTGCCGTTACAATGATTAGAGCTGAAAATAGAAAGATGAGACCAGCAAACACCGGGTTTGTCATTGGAGTGATTTCTTTCACTTCAGATGGGATCATGTTGGACATGCTCAGCATGTAGCCCAAACTCCAGCCTATGCTTGTTTCCTTTATCTGAAAAGGGAAGGAGAGAAGTTACACACATGCATGTGTAGTCATGCTTTCTTTACTCCAGCACAAGTTTGAGCTCTAAAGACGGCAGAATCAAACACAACAGAAGGTGGCTTGATAAAGTTCTGACTAGGAATAGAAATGCACGACACATTTTTGTTCTTGAATTCATAAAAATGATAGAAAACCCTTTGCATAATTTTAGTGCCTTTTTTAGACTTATGTTGCATTGTCTTTCAGCCTCACTGTACATACATGACATTTGAAGTGTCAGATACTGAATATTTTTGTGCTGAAGCAACATGAACAACTTTAGGACACAAGATGAGTCATAACATGCAAAGAACACCCCACTAAAAAATCCATGTGTCTGGTTTTTGGCTCTTTCTGTAACGGCCTACTGACTGTCATAATACCCCAAGGATCCCCAGTAAGAACATTAATTCTTTGTTCAAATCTGGGAGTGCCTCGAGTATTGGAGGAACAAAAATGCCTTGTGCCTAAAGGCCAATGTCTGAATAAGTGACAAATGGCAGTCTGGAGTTTAGATATTTAATAGAACCACTGTCTATCATTTTATTTTATGAGTTATGAGCACAGTGTCATACTTGGGAAATCCCACTTTTGTAAGGGTCTTTGTCGAAACATGCTCTTCATATGTTCCACTATTTCAGAAGAAAATAATTAGCGTGTCAGCGATCTGTTGTATGCCTCAGTGGGTGGCCCCCACCAATATTTTACACATCTAACTAACGATGGCTTGAGTCCCAACGTGGATGCATTCAGAAGCTCTAATTTTACAGCAGTTCTTTGATTTTTATAATTATAAAGGCTTTTACGTCATTTCGATTGTTGTTCTACTTACCTTTTGTTCAAAGTGAATATTTGTCCAAGTCTCATTGTCAAACTTATAGCCATCTGCCAGTAGAGTGAGGACATAGTGACTGGCAAAGCAGTAGGTCTTGAGATATCCTTCAGAGATCAAGTCCTTTTGTACTTTTAGCTGAAAAGACAAGAAAGAGATCAGAGTTAAGATAGTAGTTTGATGACACCAAGAGTGGAAACTAAAACCAGCTGCATCCCTAAAGTCAGAATAAAGAGGCAAAATCTAATTTGTGGAGAGCTGGACTATTTAATAGATTAGCGCCTACTGGTGGTTGGAGGACAATAAGTGCATTTCAATCCACAAAAGACAGCTTTGCAATGCAACAGTAGCACACATACTAAGCAAAACTTTTATCATTCAAAGAATGGTATGTACTATTGATATGTGGAATTATTGATACAAAGTGTTTATCAGTCAGGAAAGTAAAGGGTGGGGATTCTTTTGAATGAGCAGCTATCAACTACAAAGAGGTTGAAGGAAGTAGTTTACATTCACTTTTCACAAAGGTCTGAGCCTCACATTAAATGTGTTGGCAGGTTTGCAAAGGGTGTGAGCCAGATAGCTGCAAAATGCTACACCGGTTCTTTCAGGAGGAATAGTACAAAAAGGCAACAAACTATTAAAGAAGCTTGAGAACGAGTGCCCAAAATACAGGTCAAGGTTTGTTTGTCCCGTCTCCCACGGAAAAAATGTTGAACCAAAATCAAAATCTAAATGAAATGTAGCTCAGTTTCTGAATTTCAAGAAGTGTACAAAAACATAAAAAATAAATAAACTATGTAATTTATCGGGAAAATAATTAAAAAATTATAAAAGTGGAACAGAAAGTGGAGACCCCACACTCTGAGTAGCTTTACTAACTAAGACTGTATTTTCTTCTTTAGTCCCTTAATTTAAATACATGTTATGTCTTCTTTTTGTTTGCTCAGTTCTACTATGATGTATTATAAAGACAACACTGCAAACACTAATTGTAAACTATTTTTAATTTACTGCAGAAATCGCTCTGCTTAAACAAAATTGGATTGTTCTGCAATTAACCACAATTTGAGTCAAATTTGTTTCCAAATAAAAAGATGGGAATTGAAATAGATTTTGTTGTCTTAAACTATATTTGTCATATTTTAGTGCTGCATGGATAAATCGATTTGTTATGTCATGTTCTTAATAACTATTTTGAATGCATTCATGAACACACTACTTTTCTTTGTGTGTGTCCTTTATCTTCCTTTTTATTGTTCTTTTTTGCACTATTGTAGCTTCACATCAGTTTGGACATTGTACCTTGGCCCAGTCAGTGTTGCAGAAGTTCCCAACAGCAACTTTGAACTGATCAAGGTCGGATTCCCCACTCAGCTCCAGCGCTCGAGCAATGAAGAAGAATCCAGCATATGCCTAAAAGAACCATAAGAAACATTCATTTGTTCTGGATCAACAATTACTTACTTGTATCCACAGTTGCATCTACAAGTGTTACCATAAAGTCTCCAGTCACTGGTGGCTGCTCCACCCCATTGAAGGAGCATTGCTTTGAGGAACAGCTTTGAAAGTCAAATATGGACTTCACGATTTTCCCGCATTTTTCCGAGTCGGCTCCTCCAACCATGAAGAACTCTTGACTAGAGTTGTAGTTTTTGGGTTTCGGTATGCACTCCGTGTCATAAATGGATGAAGCTTTTTTGGTAATGTTGAAACCTCTGGGGTAGCAGGGATTTATTATGTTGTCTGGGTCAGATGATTCCTGTAAACATCCAAAGTGAAGACATGTCATCATAAAGTGAAAAGTGAATGAGACAAAAGCATGAGAGTGAAGGGATGTGATTAGAAGACTAACAAAAACTTTGGTTTTTCAAACCCGTAAAGCCATCATTTCATACAGGTAACACAGACTGGAGTGTATTCACATTAGTTCTACTGTACACCAACACAAGATATCTGTTCCTATCACATAGTCATTGATTTTGAAAATTGAACTGTAAGTTATGAGAAATTATGATTTTCACACAGGCCTTTAGGATGACATTCATGGTTCAATCGATACTCTTAATGATGTAATGCATTCTTGACTGGTTTTCCTTTGACTGTTTGGAACAGCAGTATTCACTAATCAATTTTCAACAGGACATTAATGGACGTTAGTTTTCATGAATGGGAGCTTTTTCTTGATGAATCTTGGCTAGCTTTTCAGTTATGCTTATCTGAGTTTGTACATTCATAATGTTTTTGGTCTTTGCGGTCTGACAACCTGCTTCATATTCCAGTAAGGTGCCACTGTTTCCAGTTGCATTTACATACAACAATCTTTTCAATTTTACTTAGCTTTTATTCCGTTTTATATTGTTTTAGCAACATTTAGTACTTTACATAAGTATCTTTCATCCTCTTTTTACGTCTTGCCACATTACAAGCATTAACCTCCAGTGGGACTTTAGGCAACACCCATTAATAACCTACAATGCAACTAGTTGCCTTCAGAAGTCACATAACATGCAAACACTATGAAATATTGAATCATGCAGCTGATCTTTGAAGAGCTGAGAGATTTGTTGCAGAGCATTAATAAAGAAATGTTCTGAAAATATATTTCAAGCCCTAAGCATCTTTCAGAAAACATGGAATGGGTTTTAAAAATTATATATTCATATTTTTGGTATGGCGAAGTCAAACTCCAGAACTGAATTCAAATGAGATTCACTACAGGACCTGAACATTTATTTTCACAATTCAAAATGATTTTGAACTTTTTAGTATTTTCTTTAATCAGTATCTTGATGTACTACAAAGGTAGAAACAAAACTCAAAAGGGATCATTTTGTTTTTAAAGCACTGATTCATAGAGACAATATGAAAGCACACATTCTTTTGCAGATTTTTATTTGTAAAAAGTTTTACTTGTAAAAATGTTGAAAAAGAAAACAATACATGTTTTTTTTTCCTTTACTATGCACTACTTTTGCTTAGCCTATCATTTCCATTATAATCCATTGCAGTTTGTGGATGCAATATGACAAAATGTAAAAAAAAAGAAGTTGCATACCTTGATTACTTTGTCCAGAACCCTTTTGTCAGCCTCATTTTTGCCATAGCAAAGGAAACTGTGAGTGTAGACAGTGTAGGGATAACCATACAACTTGACATGCATGTAGTCAGGCCCTTCTCCACTTTCCTGAACCTGGAAGGCAATCTGTGTCGATGCTCCACCGAGATCCATAGACCCGACTGTCTCTGCTCCGTTTGGACGAATGTAAGTGTTCCACATGTTTTTCTACAAATGGAATTGGAATAATTTAGGGAAAAGCAACCATATGATACCCTGGTCCTGTTCACAGAGCAGTTGCGTTTCTTTGCGCTCTCAAGTCTCACCTGTAGGAAATTTTCTTTCAAGTAATTCACTGTGATCCACCCATACAGCCCCTCTTCCTGTCCTGTGATGATGGAAGCATTGTGGAACTGGAAGCTTTGTTTACTCAGGAAGTCTCTGAGTTTTTCCAGAATTCTATTGGCTCTTTTCTCATCTTTCATTCTCAAAAACAAGACAAAAACAATAGTAAATCACACAGCAAACTGATATAGAAAGTGCAATTCTGATCAGTTTAACACTATGTCCTCACAATACGGCCTGTACGTTCTCTGAGTATATTATGTGCTTTTCTAAAACCTGCCAGTTCTTTTACGTATTTACTTCTAATCAGAAATTGAAACCCTTTGCTTCTCAGATTTTTGGATGTAAATAGGGAAAGCAGTATCTCTCTTAACTCCATTCCTTATTTTTTTCTTTGAGGCTGATATACATAGACTTACCATTTACTTACTAAACATAACACAGTTTAAAAACAACAGTGCGGTTTAGGATAATGTCTCTTTCTTACTCTAGCAGGCGCATCCCAGCTGTAGCTCCCAGAAAGAGGGGTGTGGTTTTGTGCTTTTCTTCAGGAATGTGATTCTTGATTTCATCCATGCAGTGTTGAAATCCTTTAAATGTTCTATCATCTTCCTTGGAACTAACCTCAAGTTCTGAGATAGCAACCCCTGGAGGCACAAATCTGTGTTTGGGTTATTCCTTCAAAAACAAACATTGTGTTTGAAACTGTTGAACAGAGGTTTATGTGAAGCATTAATAATTTTATAAAACAAAATAAATCCTCAGGATACTCCAGATTTTATTTTATTTGATTCATTTGGATTACACCAGCAGAATATTTAGACTTTGCCAAGTTGCTGTTTGAAAAAGTTGAAACACTTCTACCAACATTAAACAGCTGATAACTGAACTTCACTCACCAGTGACTTTGCAGTTCTTTCTTTCAGTCACTACCCCGGTCTCGTTCTCCTTCTCCCCAGGCCATTCGTACAGGTACACATTGGAGCGAGAGGAACCGGAGTCTATCACAATGCCAAACTGTGAAAAAGCATGCAGGAAAACATCAGCCCTCCATGTGAAAGTTTTGTAAACTGTATATGTAAAGACGACATCTTTTACAGTGAAGCAAAGGCGTGTCTAAATGAAATATGGCTGGCCTATTTTTTTTTTGTTGTTGTTGAGGTTGAGGTTGTTTTGACTCCCATTATAAACCAGTGGAACCAGTAGGTGAGATCTGACTTGATAATGTCTTGAAAGTGTGTGATTGTGCAGGTGCAATATATGACTCTGTAGGTATTATTCTTCTCTTGCGTGTGTGTGAATGTCTCCTTGTATTTGATGCATTCTCAGGACCTTTTTTTCAACTAATGCAATGATATGGGAACCAACTGCTCCCTATGGGGCCCAAGTATTTTCATTGGGAGTAGTGCAGTTTTTGCAGTGTAGGGTTAGACATGTACTGGCAATTGTAAGATTTAGTGTAAGAGTCAGGTTTATACTGCAGAAATGAATGGAAAATGAATAGAAGTCAACACAAAGCCCTTGAGAAGACAGAAAGATACACTTGTGTGTGTGCGGGTGTGTTTTGGTGTGTGCGTGTGTGTGTGTTCACCTCTAATCCATACTCCTTAACCTTTAACTTGTCCTGGATGACAGCAACAACAACAAGGGCAGCAATACTTCCAATCAATAGAAGCATCACTCCTGCTATGCGACACTTGTAGCCCATTTTCTTTTTGGAGCCCATGTCCTGTTGGCAAAGCGTGCCAGAGCCAAAACAAAAAGTAGAAGTGAAGCTGTCACTAAAAGGCTCTCAGCTGTCTTGTTACAGTGATGAATATGGAAGTCTGAACAGTGATCATAAACAATGACTTTACAGGATTTACTTTCAGCTGGAAAAAAAAAATGTTGGTAGCAATAATATCAATAATGGATGAGAGCCAAACAAGCAAACGTCAGCTAATGAGAAGGAAAGTATTCTAATAGGCACAAAACTACTCTGATAAGCCACATGCAGTATCTGAACTAACTATCTGAACTGCTTTTAGGTTGGTGCATTGGCTCTGAGGTTACAGTAAAACAAAGGATACACAGCAGTATTTTTTGTCAGTGAAAGGAAGTACATCTTGAACTTCAACCCAGTTTCACCTAGCATTAATTATGCCCTCAGTGCAGAATAATATTCACACTCAAATAAATGTAGTCTCTCAAGTCTTTTAAAGAATATACGATATATACAGACACATAGAAAAACAATAGATAATCTCAAATATTTGAGATTAGATTTCATTGCAGCCTTGGACAGGAAAGTCCATCTCTTTAGATAATTAGATATGGTCTCTGTTACCCATTCCAACTTTCTGTCTATACAAACCACAAACAAAGTAAACATATATTCTGGGTAAAGGTGTGCCTGGAACCACTCAGCCTGAGTTGTTTAAATTCAGTGACAGGAAGGAGTGTTTCTCTCCAGATAAATTGGGCTGCAATGTAGATACATCTGGAGAGAAATATGTTCTGATAATATGTCTACACTCCAAAGTGTAGACATATTTTGTTGTGCACAGATTTGGAGATACAACATTGCACTGAGAATTTGGTATGAGTAAATTAGCAATCATTAATTAACTGGGCTCAGCAGTCTCTGGCATAAACAAGCTGATCATACCTGCAGGAACATGAGTTATTTAAATCAAGGCCATAAACTCACCTGCTTTGAAATACCTTTAATTCATAGTAACTGGATTATATCAAATGATGCACTTGCTTGAAGATGGCAGTTGACAAATATAATTTTTACTGCTGTTTTGTAATTGTTGACTGTATTATGCTTTCTGGTGTCAATCACTTTCAATTGCCTTCATGCTGAAATGTGCTACACAAATAAACATGACTTTACTTGACTTGATATATCTCTCCATGACTGTCAGAGATTTCTGACGAGAAAGCTGTTGCACGTTTTCTGTTATTGTGGTTGCTGAGAAGAAAATTATTGGGAAAGAAGCCAATCTCTTCTTGCTCTATAAAACTGTTCTGTTAATTTGCCCCTTCTTTTTCTTCTGCTTGTTTTGCCATTTTCATTACTGACTGGTGATTTTTATTTTTTTTTTGTAGAACCCTGTAAATGGGCTTATTGTTATCTCTGTGGTCACAGAAATCTGGGCTGCTGTAAGTGTAGCCCAAAGCCCTATCAGGGAACATGTGATAAAATGTATGTCACATAGGCTTCACAGAAGAGTGGAGTTGTAATTATAACCGAGACTTTACAATGAGTTATTTTTGCCAATAAATAAAGGTATAATCTGAATACTTAGGGAAAGTGTAATAAAGAAAAGATTTCCTCAAAGGTAAGAACCTGGTGTCTGCTGTGTGTCTTCATACTGCTGTGATTCAGGAAGCTAGATACAAACTTTTCTTTATGAGTACTGAAAAAACGCGTGCCTCCCCCTTTTCATTAAACAAGACTATAAAGAGTTTCTCCTAATTTTAAATGGAAAAATGATGCCCCAACCATCAAACGTGAAAAGTGATGCTGACTTCTGCTTCGGCTCAGTTCTGCTTTTACGATGCAGAATCCTGCTGCAGGGAAGGATTGATCCGAACTGTGGATTTGCTAGTTTAGCAATTGCAACCAGGGGAATAAAGCTGCAGCCTACTATATTTTTATAATAGTTCATACTGCACCTACTTCCTCATAAACAGTATAATAGTATACTATGATAATACAATGAGCAAATATCAGTTTTCATTTTATCCACCAAGACTGTTTAAAACCATCCTGGATAATATGGTGGTGAGACAACTGGCTGATTTGATCTTTTTGTTTCAGAGCATATTGTGTTGGTTAGACAATTACAGTGACTCAAGTGCTGATCTAATCAAGATTTTATAAGTTGTGTCTAACCACAAACAATCTTGCTAATGTTGTCGTAATCTCATAGTCTACCAAACCTAGCATTAGTATTGACATACAGTAAAAATTATATGCTTTAGGATTCACTGAGTAAGACAGAGTGGAAAGAAAAAATAGGACAAAAAGAAACCGTAATTACACATTTCTACTGATTCATCAACCTTGAATGGGATCAAAGGGAAAGATTCAATTACATCAGAACTCTGGCAACAAATGGGAAGTACAACATGCTCCCTTATATCATTCATTGCCAGATTACTTTAATTGATGACACAGAAAAATTTGTGTTTTTTTTTTTATTTACAATATTAGGTTTCTATTAGGTCATGTTATTTAAAAAGTATGAACAAAGAGTTTCCAAAATGCAAGAAGTTAAAAATTCAAATGATCTGTCTAAAAATAGAGCCAAGATTTATTTATCATTTTACACCTTTGAGTCCTGCAATTGTCACATTCTGAGTTGAAAGTTGGCCAAAGGTCAAAGAGTCTGTGTCTATTCTGCAATATTAAGTTGGAATCACTCCAAAAACTTACACTGTTAATAAGCTGGCATGAGCTCATCCTGAACTGGGAGAAAATAAGTTTTATTAGTGGATTTTCTCCTCATTTTCTAGTGTGTACTACTGTGTGACAATACCAGACTCACAGAGACAGCTTATCATGTGTTTTTTCTGACTAGAGAAAAAAGAAATGGATGGAAATATATGTAAATTAAAATAGAAAATGATTGACAAACAAAATGTTTTAATTGAGTTCTCATTGAGCAAATTTAGGAAAATGAGGACAGTAGAAAACATATTTGCTTAAATTAGTTTGAACAGTAAATTACATAATCTTACCATAATCTTTCAGAAACTTAAAGTCTGAGAAAATGTGATATTCTCTCACTCTTCTGCTCAAATATTTTTGAATGAAAAATTATTTTTAGTATTACTATACTGAGCCTTTACTTGTTAAACTCACTTGTTGCTCATGAAAACATTAACAATTCCTTACCTCTAACAAATAGACAACTCTCCTGGGGAAAATCGTCTTTCCCCAGGATATATTTCCTGTCTCTCTAAACAGGAAATATATAGCAGTTTATCTGACTTATTTGCTTTTGCCATGTCTGCTTGTCTCAGTTAACGTTACATGGTTTCAGCTCATCAAATAGCTTTCGGCCCTGAAAGGTGAAACTGCACAATATTTGGTTTCTGGAGGCTGCAAAGGATTTTTATTTTCTACTTTTAAATACAAATTACACTTTCTTTCATTCCTTTGCATTTTTCCAAATCTTCTTGACTGCCTGAAACTGTTGTCATGCAATTACGCTTCTAAGCTTTTATAGAAGTGTTAGTCCACCCGGACAGTTTTACATTTAATGTGTGTATTTATTTATGTAATGTCAGTCTCTGTTTTTAGGTGTGCATCTGAGGCTGTGAAAGAGTATGAAACAAATAACCATCAAAATTATATCAAAATGATGCATGGTATAAGTTAAGAGTGTGAGATAGTGTAAAGAAATAATGATTAGACCAAAATACTTTGAACCTGAAACTTTTGCTTTATCCTACTTTAGAAATACATTTAACCTATGCTTAACCAGAAAAGACCAGATGTTCTTTCTCACTCCCATCACACCCTTTTTCCACCACCCTGTCCACAAGACAAACATGATACGCTGTGCAGCAAAATGTAAATGTGTTCTTACCGACTGAAGGTATCTACCCACCGAATAGTTAAAATGCCTACTGTGAGATTAAACATGTACAGACATTAAGATCAGGATCTCAACTCTCCAACATTTTTGATAATGCTTCTATTAAAAAGTTCATTCTTCTCAGAATGAGTATTTGACATTAACTGTCAGTGCAGTAGATCAGAGAGAGCATTACAGCAGTGCAAAATAAAAGATCTGTATTCATAAGTCCAGTGTAGAACATAAATACACAGAGCGTGATGACAAGTCGATGACTGCATGCAACAAAGTGTGTTTTTATCTTACCGTGCAGAGCTCGCTTTGCAGATGAGGGCAGGGAGTGGGAGTGAGATGGCTCACAGGATGGGATAACTGAACACAGTAGGAAATGAGGGAGCAACTGAGAGGTGAAGAGAGAGCAAGCTAAGAAGCAAGAGGGTTGTGTGTGGAGGAGAGATTGAAATTGTGACTTCCCCACGAGAACATGGGTGGTGAAAGTGAGGGTGAACAGAATAATGGGAGGAGCAGTATGTTCTGTACACATGCCACACTCCACACAAACCTGTACAACAAACCAGAAAAAGTGAAACGGAGACAGGGAGAGGACTGCTGTAGCTGCCTAACTGTTTGTCTAGTCATCAAATACAAAAGCAAAGTTTGTGAAAATGAATACAAATTGTGAGGGGCTGGTGGGGAGGGGGAGCAGAAAGAGTTAAAGGATACAATCAATAGGATAAAGTGCAGTGTGGCTGAGCATCTGCGGTGAGTGTTATCATGAAGTCAGCTCTTACTTAAAAGCTCTGATCTGAGGGGCAATCTGGGAAGCAAATGCTTAAAGACTCTGCCAATGTTGAAAGATGCGTTAAAACCTGCAGACTCCTCCTCAAATGCTGGGTTGAATTTGTGACAGTGGATCCCATGAGTCATTTATGGCAGATCATCGTCTTAGCAGGCCATTCGTTGTGTGAACATATCGGCGACGTTGTATGTCACACCTCAACGGTGTGTTTGCACACCCTGCCGATCAGACAACTGCTCAAAACTTGCTTTCATTTGGGTTCATGGTTTCTGTGCAAACATGCAGAGACTTGTCCCAATTTTGGTTCCTATGGAGATGAGAACAGTTTGTATTTTTTTTGACATGTCTACCCAAGCAATGTCATTCAGCAGAAAATCAATAACATTGAGAGCAAAGAATAACAAGCAAAGCAGCCCATTAAGTGTAACATATTTATTCTTTGCAGAGAGAAATAATCTTTTGTTCCTTCATTCTTCATTGTTCTTCTTGGGAATTAAAGAGTACAACAAACCTGAGTTTGTTCTCACACTTTTTGCAATCATTGTTTGTTATTAAAAATATATAAAAGAAAAAGACGTAGGTTTTGGTGTAAAGTTGGAATACTTTTTTTTTTTTTTTTTTGGAGTTTATTGCATCAAAGATTATTTAGTCATCAGACACTCTGTTACTTTGAGGCAATCAACTAAACAGCAAAGATGACTGACCCTGATTAATCAGGCAGTTTTGGTTGCAAAGTTTTCTTTATTTTTCTATTCAGATTGAATCATTAAAGCCTCAGAAACAACTGAAAACAGATTCCACAACACAAGAATGTTTTTTAAAACGTTTTTGTACTCGTGATAAATAAGTTAATAACAACTGTCTCGTGACAAAGTTTTCTGAATACATACTGCTTGGATTTTGTTTGCTACTTTTTCAGTAAGGACTGCCTTTTCAAAACAACTAACATTGTGCATGCTTATAACCAAAGACAATGTTTTTAAAAAAATAAGATTATAGCCACCTGTGGCATTTTTAGTTTCAATTGAATAAGGGTTGTGCAGAATAGTTGTGGATGTCTTAATGCCCTAAACACCATCAGAAGAGAAAAGATCCATGTTATTACAATAACTATCTCAATGTCACAAACACTCAAGAGCCATATTGGATTTGAAATCAAGGTTTTTGAGAAAAGTTTAAGTCCTGTAAAAAATCTGTCCATACTTGGAAAGTTTTGTAATTTGTGGTCCTTATCTTTCAAAAAGTCTACAACCACTAGTGTAGATTGAATACTCAGTATTTCTTTTAATTTTAGAAATAAAATCAATAACGGTAAATCCACTATAGATGCAGACTAAGTGAAAAAAATGCTTTTCTACTCCAGGCGTAAATGTGTTATGTGTCGAAATGATAAGATGTAGGTACTTTCTGTTTCAGTGAATTGAGTATTTCTAGTCAATGTACAGTAAATGTCACCGTGTCATTTGTCCGACCAAAGTTTTGCAAAATCAGTCAAGTGTCTTGTGCTTTTCAATCATAATGTTTGGTTTTGGTTGTTGTCTGGGATCTTACAGGTTCCCATGTTTTTCTTGGGTTTGTTGCCTAGATTTTGTGTTTATATTGCTTTCTAGTTTCTCAGGACACTATGTTCAAGTTCTGCAAGTCATTTCATTGTACCTATGTCTTTTATTTACCTATGCTGGTTTTCAGTGAAAGAATCACATCCAGTCTGGTGAGTGCTCTTGTCAAGTCATGTTTTGTGTTTCTCCTTTTAGCTTGGATTCCCTGACTGTTCAGCTGTTTCTCATAGGGGAGGAACTCTTTCCAAATTGGTGTTTGGAGCCAGATCTGCTTTCAGGCTTTCAGAACTTTACAAAGCAGATTTGATTACAGAATGAATGAAAATAATTGCTGTGATAAAAATTAAGTAATGCATAACATGTCTCAAACCCAGCACAGGAATCCAGAAAGTTGAATTGCTACAATTTGAAGAGTATGGTATCAGAATTTATATTTAACAATTAAACATTAGAACAAATGAATACGGTTAGGGTTAATAAGGTCCAATCAATAAAAGTAAAAGATATATGACAAACCTGCAACTGTACCCCGCCTCTCATTGTAGAAATGTTAGCTGGAGATAGTCTCCAGCACCTCCCGACCCCACTAGGGACAAGGTTGTTAGGAAATGAATGGATGGATATGTCACAAACACCACTGTGTACACAGATGTGTCTGAAAACCAGACGCACACCAATTTATTAGAAGCCATGAAAAATGTGATCAAAAACCAAAAAGTTAAAACCAAGTCATTTAGTTTTCTGAGATTTCTCAGTGAACACCACTCAGTCAGACTGGTTTAGATAGGCCACTCATCTTCTTATGGAATGAGTCCCACTACTGTGGTGTCATTTGCAAACTTCATTATTTGATTTCCTGGAAATGCTGGCGAGCGTATAATGAGAAGAGGAGGAAAGAAAGTGATGCAATATATATATATATATATATATATATATATATATATATATATATATATATATATATATATATATATATATATATATATATATATATATATATATAAAATTTTTAACAAATCTGTCTTCTCCTCATTGTCTTCATCCTGTCTAAAAAAGAGACAAGTATCGGTTCAGTCAATGTGAATCACATTTCTCCTTCAGCAGACATTTTTAGCTGCCAAATGTGAGACATAAAACCTGGTGGTTGAAGTGAACCGGAAAGGCAGCACTTTTAAAATTTAATTTATACAGTGAGAAGAAACAGAAGAAGCATTGTGGATGCAGATTATAGACATCTATTGAAGCTGTGGAGCTGTTTCTGTCAAAGTGAGGCTGATGTGTGTTCATTCTAGATCTTCTTTCTTAATGGAGCTCATGCAGGCAAATTCATGCTGAAATAGTAAGGGTAAATCACCTTGAATTATCATCTTGACTTTCTGGATTTTTTTTTCTTCACTCATATTGGTTGGTATTTCTAGAAGACACTTTTAGACAATAAAAGGGTAAGTCCAAGCATCAAAGTCTCTTCAGGATACAAGCATTGATGTTTGTTTCGTTCCTCAATTTAATGTTTGTGATGTCATTTTTTCACCTTCCTCCTGACTCAGGCTTCGGTTGAAAAGACACCTAAGTTGGCTAGCACAGGTCTTCAGAGTCCTGAGGGAGATGCCATCCGGGCCTGCAGCCGTACGCTGATGGAACCTCTCCAGCTGTCTCCTGGCCTGGTCTGTGGTCAAGAGATGCTTGCAGGAGCAATATCCACTAAAACATTGATCAAGCAGTCATATATTGATCAATATATATATAAGCACTGAAATTGCATTTTTATAAGAAATGAAGGCAGCAGAGATGCTTGGCTGTGCTATTTAATGGCACTATTTGCTTGGATAAAACCTAAAACTGCCCATTCAAAAATCAGTGCGAGTTCATTAATTTAGAAATTTACCCTTTAATTTGCATTAGTTGAAGCAATTGTTCACAGCTCACATATATACATTTCTGCTTGTTTGTTTTATTAGTTTGCTTGTATTTATAAACCTTAAGTACACACATCTTTATCTTAGATTAAATGATAACTTTACACTTTAATTTCTGATCAACTTAGTTGGAGTGTGCTTACCTCTGATTGCACAAACTGCATTAGTGAGAAATACAATTGAAAGAAACCTACTTGTCTCAAATGCATAATGGGAAAATGAAACAAATTAATTTCAGACTGAAAACCTGATAAATAATAAATGAAAAAGAATTACTGAATCACAACTGTTATCACTTAACTTGAAGCTCGAACTATGCGATTGCTAAGTCTGACTGAAAAAGAACTAATCAATTTTAAAATGCCAGAAGAGGTGCAATACAAATTCAGGATCTTACAAATCTGTAAGGAGGAGGGAGGTGTTGATGAACGGTGTTGTTGTTGTTGTGGTTGATATTAGGCTTTTTTTATGTATATATATTAAAATCTGCATCACAGGGTTTATAGTTTGTAACTTAAAATTCTGCATGCGAAATACTGCTCAGACAACTCCACTGGTCACATACATGCACGATTCATAATTGGCTCCTTCAGTTGTTAAACTGGCAGAAAATGATCTCTCATGTCTAATGTACTGTTTATTGTGTGGGCTGGTGCACTTTAAACCCATCTTTTTACCAACCCCCACCACAGCTCAGTCTGTCTTCTGTCTTTTGTACATTTCAGAAGACCGCCTCCCTCCCAAGAAGTGAAATTACAGAAGAATCTCCACCAGCAAGATGTAATAATATCCTATTCATCTTGCACACTAAAACTGCCATACACTTACCAGGAAACTCTCATCCTAACAGAATTATCTATTAAGTATTAGAGTGAACTGCAGCCAGTGTACAGCTCAGCACGAACCATTAAATGCTAGCCATGTAATGCGATCTCTGAGGTTTCAAGTATAGTTGTGACTTAAGATTCAGTTATGTGCTGATGACCACCAGATTGCAATATTTTCCCATCTCATGCCTCCCAAGTGAAAAGCGTCTCCTGGACAAACTTTCAGCAAATGAGCTCAACCAACAAGTGACTGAAACTTGCCCTGTGAGGGAGTTAAGTATTTAGGCTCAGTTTGTCCCTCAAAGGCACCGGGAGGTTCTTCCTTGTTGTTGCTCTAAGACATGCCACCTAAGTTACTTTCTGAAAAGCTGTCA